CACACACACACACACACACACACACACACACACACACACACACACACACACACACACACACACACACACACACACACACACACACACACATAGTGTCACACGCATACTCTACGACACTCTACTCTACTCTACGACAATATGATAGTCTTTTGTAGTCTATGACACTCTACGACACTCTACAAAACTCTCCTCTATGACACTCCACGACACTCTACGACACTCTACTCTACTCTAATCTATGACATTCTACTCTACTCTACGAGACTCTACAAGACTGTACTATACTTTACGACACTCTACAAAACCCTACTCTACTCAACTCTATTCTACTCTACTCTACTCTACAACACTCTACTCTACTATACTCTGCTCTCTGACACTCTATTTTACGACACTGTACTCTGCTATACTCTATTGTACTCTACCCACTCCACTCTACTCTACCACACTCTACGACACTCAAATGTACTCTGTGACACTCTACTTTACTCTACGACACTCTACTCTACTCTAGGACACTTTACGACACTCTGCGACAATCTACGACACTCTACTCTACTTTACTCGACTCTGCGACACTCTACTATACTCTACTCTACTCTTCAACAATCTACTCTTCAATACTCTACTCTACAACGATACTATTGTAATATACTCGCGACACTCAACGACACTCTACTCTACTCTATGGCAATCTAGGACACTCTACGACACTCTACTATACTCTACCATACCCTACGACACTCTACTCTGAGCCGCTCTAAAAAACTCTACTCTACTCTACTCTACTTTACGACACTCTCCGACACTCTGCTCTACTCTATCACACTCTACTCTACTATACTCTACTCTACTACACTCTATGACACTCTATTGTGCTCTACTCTACTTTACTCTACTCTACTCTACTATACTCAAGCAACTCAACCCACTCTACTATACTCATCCCTACTCTACTCTGCTGTACTACACTTTACTCTACTCTAAAACACTCTGCAACACTCTAGTCTACTCTACAATACTCTAGTCTACTACGACACTCTACTGTAATATACTCGACGACACTCAACGACACTCAACGACACTCTACTCTACAATATGACACTCTACGACACTCCACGATATTCTACAAAACTCTACTCTACTCTACTACACTCTACTCTACTCTACGGCGCTCTACTATTCTATACTCTACCACAAGCGGTTAACGGGGACCCCCACTTTTCGGCCCTGAGTAACCATGAATGATCCTGAAATTAGGGTTTCGGGGTTAAATTTTGTGTTTTTTTGGATTTTTTTTTTTTGCTTGTTTTTGTTTTTGGACAAGTTTGTTGTGTGTTACCTGAGTAACCATGAATGATCCTGAGTAACCATGAATGAATGCTGTGTTTTCGGCCCCCACTTATGGTTTTCTTATAAATTGAGGTAAAAAATGGGGGCTCGGTTAACCGGCTCTCCACTCTACTCTGCTCTACTTTACTCTACTTTAATCTACTCTACTCTACTCTACTCTACTCTACGATATTCTACTCAATTGTATGAACCTGTACGACACTTTATTGTAGTCTATGACACTCTACGACAGTCTAAAAAACTCTATAAAACTCTAGAAAACTTTAGTCTAATTTACTCTACTTCTCTACTACTCTACTACTCTACGACACTCTACGACACTCTTTGACACTCTTCGACACTCTACTCTACGATACTATACTCTACTATACTCTACTATACTCTACTATACTATATTCTACTATATTGTACTCTACAACACTCTACTCTACAGTGCTCCACTCTACTTTACTATAATCTACTTTACTCCACTGAGTCAGTCCACTCTATTCTATTGTACTCAACCCACTCTACTCTACTCTACTCTACTCTACTCTACTCTACTCTACTCTACTCTACTCCACTCAACTCTACTCTACTCTACTCTACTCTACGAGACTCTACAACACTCTACTATACTCTACTCTAGGAGACTCTATGACACTCTACGACACTCTACGATACTGTACTGTATGACACGATACTTTACTCTATTATACTCTTCTCTACTCCACGACACTCCACTTTACTGTACGAGAATCTACTTCACTATACACTACTGCACTTTTTTACACTCTACTCTACTCTACTAACTCGACTCTATTGTACTCTACTACACTCTATGACACTCTACAACACCCTGCTCTACTCTTCTTTACTCTACTCGA